TAATGAAAATTTTGATTATAAATATTTTATCATGAAAAAGCGCCCTTAATAAATCAATCATAGGGAATTTGGATCACATAGATTAACTTCTTAAAACAGATCGCAATTTACTGAGGCTGGTTCTCATTAAAGTAAATCCTTCTATGGCGTCAAAGATTAATTTGTGGCTTGTTATGACGGAAGCAACTAGGAAATAAGAAAGCCTTTAAAAAAAATGTTAAAAGTAGTTTTCTAAGCTAGGAATTCATTTGCAATATGGTCCTGTACCGGTTGTGGATGTGGCTCGTTGCTAATTGTGCATAGGCTTTTTTTGCTTTTTCTTTCTTTTTTTGTTTTATTATACTTGTCCTAATTAATATAAGGTTTACTTTAAGAGTCAATTGCACTCGACTGTCAATTTATTTTAGATGAGTTTCATGTATAAGTTAGAATGAATAAATAAATGAATAAATAAATAAATAAATAAGTTAAAAATTCCCGATTCCAAAAAACATTTTCATTTAAAATAATGTAAAATTATTATTTTGCACGTTATCACTAAATATTTCCGCTAAAAGTCTTTAGAGCTCAAAAAACAATTCGATAATGTACTTTAGATTAAACACTGGAGCCATATTCGCTTTGCGATAATATCGACAAATTCGATAAAGGCAGGTTGTTGTTGTTGTTGTATCTCCTTTTTTTTTGTGTGAAAATGGTTATCTCATATATCACACAACATTTACTGGATGGACTCACAAATGGATTGAATTATATCTTACGCTTGTCAAGACTATTATAATATATCGTGCGATCAACAGACAAAGGAAAAAGTTTGTAACGTTTTCCCTAATAGATGACCTTACTATATGGCTGAAAATAGTCCCCACACGATTAAAATAAAAACATGTAAGAATATATAGTCCATTTACGCTACTAGTCCTACACTACATTGTCTAGCAAAATTCTTATTATTATTATAGAATACAAAAATTATATCTTGTTTAGATCTAAAGGCATATTTTTCAAAACGCCACCTAATATAATACAAGTTTAATCTTCACATAGGGCATGATCCAAAATTAGGCGCAGATGGCCCGGATTTTGTAGGAAATTATGAAATTACTATAATGGTATCGTTCAATTTTTGATCACCACTTTTCTGCTCTACAAAGGATTAATTCTTGTGAAAATCATTATTAGGGAAGGATCCAAAAAAAATAGGCTGAGATGCGAGGGTTGTTATAGTAATTAGTAAATGTTTAATGCCAAAAAAAAGTCTCTTTTTCAAAATTCTACGATGCAAAGAGATTCCTAGTAGCAATGCAGCATGAAAATTAACCGTAGAGAATTTGGACCACATAGATCTGCTGTTGAGATCCCACGATTTGCAGAAACTTTAAAATTTAATATGTAGTTTTTTCATAACGCAAGCAACTGAAAATGAATAAAATTTTTGACAAGTAAATTAAGTTCGCCACGGTAGCCTTCCTCCAATACGAGACTTATGCCTTTAGATGAAAAAAAAAATGTATTAGGTGTTTGCGAAAACACCAGCGCACACAGCGTTTGAATTCGAATTTTCCATTTAATATTATTGATTTATTCAGTGTGTGTCCACGCTAATCATGGAGCGCTCAAAGTTCTTCTTCTCTCAAACTCAATACTTTTCGTGTTTATTTGAAGCAATCTGCTACCGAATAGCACCCAACACCTTCGCAGACTTATGGTAATGTTGCCCTATCATACGCCAATTGTCGATTGTAGTTTCAACGGCTTAAAAGTGGTGACATGAATTGAATGAAAATGCCATTTTTTGGCCACATGGTGCAAGGGCTGTCTACGATATACTCTTGCAGCTGGAAAGGGAAGTTATAGCACACATACCGCACTCAGCAGGCATTGCGCCTCCTGATCACCATTTACTCAGATCGCTGCAGATTCACTTCGCTGGCAAGCGGGTCCGCAAACTTGAAGAAACGCGAGAATTGGTCCGCGGGTGAATCGCTGCCGCACCAATATAAGTTCTTTCGCAACGTTGTCAAAATTATTGTGGACTGTTGTAGAAAATGATGGAAATTATTTTAATTAATAGAAATCTATCAGTGCAGCCATCTACCGAAAAAATAATGGATTTCTTTTTCCCCAAACTAATATATTGTACCAATTCTAGGTAGGCCGTGCCCGACCAAAGTGCTTTTACTTGTTTTATCTTTTTTATCAGACAGCAAAGCCAGCAACAAGAAAATGCCCTGGACTGGCTCTTTACAGGGGGTCAATTTTATTACATCCGTCAAAGAGGAAAAGGCACTAGTTACCCCTTGCAGGCTGCAAAATGGCTAAAAGGATATGTAATTCAATCGTTTCATTCTTACTCGACCTCGAAAATTTCATCGCAATCGAATCGTTCTCAATCTCTTATTTACTCAGTGATCGTCTTGAGAGAGTTACATTATCAAAATTACTGAAAATACTTTTAAATATCACATCATTCAATAAGTCTCCGGTCTTACACACATATATGTCAACAATTTTAAAAAATTCATATGATTTCTGGATAATACGAACCGCAGCAATTTTCACTCATAGGTTGAGCACAAAAATACATGAACAGACAATGATTCTGGCATTCTTCCCTGCTCAAATTCACCAACACATATAAGATAATCGCTTATAAATTTCGTTAGAAACGTCACAAACATTTTTCTTGAATCATAATAAAAATAAAATTATATGTCTATGCAAAGAGCGTTTAAGTTAGTAGCGTCTAAATGCCTTGTTTCTCTGTATAAACAACTAAACGAAACCATCAACAACAACAACAAGAACAACTTTAGGCAATTGTTCCTATTTTGCTTTCTACTCTCTATATATATATATGTTTTTTGGTTTCATATTATTTTCTTCTCATTTTTATCAAACTGCGGCCGCTTTATTTAATTGCTATCCTTATCATTAATGCATGTAGAGTACCATGTATACACACATATATATATGAAAAGAAACGCCGATTCTCCAGCAGTTTCTTTACAATTGTGTATAAAATTTGCATGTATAAGTGTATAAAGAGTTTTCTTATCAGTTAGTCTGCGCATTTCTATTTAAACAAAAGTTCACTCACTATTAAATATTATTATTATTATTATTATTATTATTAATTAAAAATCTTTTCATTTAAATAAATA